TTTGCTCCTGAAAAGTGCCCACAAACATTAATTCACGTACCTGCATCTTAATTTACTTTGAACTAAAAGAGTCTTTGAAGGACATGAGATACCACTAAGAAAGTAATATATTGAATATAGAAACTTATCATCTATTTAGAAATTCTGTTTTTTATATCCTACAGATTAAAGTTCAGTTTTTTCAAAGCCTGCTGAGTTTGATCATAAGAACCATTTACAAAGTGGAAAGTAATTTAATGTGGGAAAGAGGAGGCATTTTTAGCTTAATTCTCTGGCATATGCTTTTCTCAAATGGTCTGAGAACTCCACATGGTGAGTTCACTTTTTCAAAAATGTTATATCTTATTTAATTGCCTTGACACTGACAAATTCACTGGTCACAACCCTTTCAATAATATCTAGCAAATGAAACACTCTGAAAAATAAGTGTAATGAAAGGAGTTCATCTTTTTTATATGTATGAGGTATGATAAAAAAATGTATTGAAATAAAAAATTTTAAAATGTATTACAGTAAAAGACACATTGCCATTAATCTCTCTCAAAATACTCCCCCTCACTTCAAAACACTTCTGCCACTTTCTGAAGCAGTTCTAGGAATTCTCTTTGCTGTCTTTTCAAGGATGGCTCAGTGGCCTGAATTGATTCAAAAAATTTAAGGCAAATTCTGTCAAATAAAAGATTATGATGTGTCCTCATCCACCTTAATACCTGGATTTCTGGCTCTTTCCTAAAGTCAAATGAAAGATAAATGTTTTGAATCAATTGAGGACATTGAGGCAGCCACAGTGGCACAACTAAAGACATTCATAAAAGAGGTGTGTTGTTTAATCACAGCTCCTAAATTCAGGTCTTTGAATATTGTACCATATGATCAAAGAATGTTTCAGAGATCATTGCATTTTTTAAAATTTAGCTTTACTTATATAATTTCATAAATTATCAATACAAAAATTTAAAAGCATAGATAATACAATAGATTTTAATGACCCCTCACAATCTCACTCCTGTCCTGAGAATCACTGTTCTTTGGGGAGGAATGAATGTGTAGCATCCCACCCTTTTACTTAACATTTACCTACACATATCCACATATAAGGACATGTTCTGTTTTGAATAAATTTTTATTTATTCAAATAAGAGATGGTTGGTAGAGTGCAAAATTGGCTATAACACCTGTCAGCATATCTCACTGAGAGATGGATTTATGTTCCCACCACTTGAAACTGGGCTAGACTTATGACTAGTTTTGACTAACCTGACACAGTAGAAGAGATGTGAAGTTCTGCCACTTCCAAAGTAGGACTCAAGGGGCCATGTATTTTCTACTTTTCCTGTCTTAGAACTGGGAAATGAGCATGAGATCCAGCCTAGGCCAGCCACCTGGGAATGGGAGAGCATGTGGAAAATTAAGTCAGGCCCCTGTCCATGTACCAGTTGAATTAAAAAGTGTGAGTCCTCTTGAGATTAGCTGAGTTCAGCCCACACAACGAGAACTGGCCTGTGGAACCAGATTATTTAAACAACTCTAATGCCTCACAAATGAAACACTTGATACTAAAGCATATAAAATGCAGTTTTTTATTATTATGTTATAAAAACTTGCCTTATTAAAACTTATAGACCCAGTTTATTCTTGTTAACAGTACATACATTAACATTTTATTGATATCCCATGGTTTATTTAACATTTCCTCTGTGATAGGTAGTTATATTGTTTCTTTTCTTTGTTTCTCCTTTCCCTTGTTTCTTCCTGCCTGCTCTTTTCTCCATTTTTCTCCATGTTAAAAGAATCCCTAAAGCTTTTGCCTGTACTTATCCAGTTGTATTTTTCTCTGCTAATAATATTTATTACAGTATCTCAAGTAATATACAGATTTTTAAAAAGAAAACCAAAATCTTGTGGTGGCAGAACCTCAGCATCTCAGACCATAGCAATTTGCTCATAAAGAGCTCTGATTTCCAGAGTCTCCAAGTCTGATCTTGAATTATCCAAGAACCATCTCCTCTCTGCTTTGGAATTCCATCGATATCCCTTTCTTTACACAAAATAAATATAATAGTACAGCAGTCTTTAATATAATGTGAAGCTTATTGTGAAGCTTAGTATAAAAGAATAGAAAATATGTCAAAAGAAAATATTTCCAATAGTAAAAAAAGTAAATAGTAAAATAAAATCTGTGCTCATAAGGTTTTGGGTAGACATAAGGACTCTACTGAGAATATGACTAGAGATCATGCATGTTACACTCTGGCAAGAAACAAACAAAAACTTGTTTCCATTTTTCCCATGTCCTGAGACTTCATAGGAGGCAGAGTTTAAGGGCACAGGAAATTTCTAGGCAGCCAAGTACTTGGGACGTGATATGGGGATTCCTGACAGCTTTTAGCCACTTTGTAATGACAATTGGGAGCAAACAGCAGAGCAGAAGGGATTGAGAAATTTTGACCAGAAGAGAAGCACATGTAAAGTCGTGACCAAAGGAGGTATGTCTGCCAAAAGCCACTGCAGCTACAATCCTAGCTACTTCTTAGGTCAATGGCAGACCTCGGTGTAATCCATGTGATGCTGTTTTTCTTGGGTATGAGAATGCAAGAGTTCTAGGGTTATAGAGATTTCTGCCCAGATTTTAGAGGAAGGCTGGGAGGCCAACCAAGGAGCTGCTGAAAGGGTGGCATGTGAAGCTGTGGAAATGAAGCCAAAGGTGCAGTTGAGACTCCATGACATCAGTGATACCAAGAACATGCAATATCTTCAAAGGAAAGCTGCAGGATGTGAATATATCCAGCCCAAGAGAAGCCATGTGGGTTTCAACCAGCAAGGACATAGGAATGAAGATGCCCAAGCCCTCTGGATCTCACATCTCACCACCATATACCTCAGATGATGGATAGGGAGCTACATGACTTGGTGTTTGCTCTGCTGGGGTTAGGTCTCACTTTGGTTGGATTCTTTTTTATCCTACACTTCTCTCTTTTGGAATGGGAGTGTTCATCCTGTTTCATTTTATTTGAGGATTAGGTAACTTGCTTTTTGAATTTTACAGGGGTTCAAAGTAAGAATTTGCCTTGAGTCTCAAAGGAGACTATAGACTTGAAATTTTGAGCAATGCTGGAACTGTTGAGTTTAGGGTAGGGATTATTGCATTTTCAGTAGTACACTGGATAATGACATGATGGTAGGTGGAATTATTATTATTTTTTATTGGTACAGGGATTGAGCTTGGGTCCTTACTCTTCCGAGGCAGGTGGCTGAACCACTGAGCTAAATCCCAAGCCAAAGCTCTCTCCTTATGATGACACCAGTCCTATTGGATTAGAATCTATTGTTATGACCTCATTTAACCTAAATTACTTCAATGAAAACCCTGTCTCCAATGACAATCACATTGGGGTATAGGGCTTCAACATATGAATTGTGTGGGAACATGATACAGTTCATAACAGTATTCTCAAATAATAACAACACAGATATTAAAAAATTTTTGTATTTTTGAATTGTATCAAAATAGTTTTTTTTAATGTCCCAAATACCTGAGAAATAATATGGGCAAAATTCACAGGGAAACAACTTTGATATAAATCAGAATTATCTTGGTGATTTTAAAAATGTATCTGTGAATACAGCACCAATTTACTGAAGAATATAGACCAAAATGTTCATCAAGTACATACTTGTTGATTTACACTTAGTAGAACTGAAATATTTGTAAGTGGTTTATGTTCAAACAGCATTCATTCACATTTTCCTTTCATTTTATAAAGTCTTGCTGTTAGATAGTGGATATATTCACAGGCTATTCTCCTTGAACCAAAGTTGTAAATAATGCAATAAATAGAAATCTCTATTTCTTGCTGGCTCAAAGAAGTAGAAAAAAATATATTATGGCTATAAAATAGCTCATAATTCCCACTGTTAAGAATGGAAATTTTTTGGCAAAAAAAACACATTTCAAGGCACAAATAAATGGTTCCTTTTGAGAAGCTTCTGCTCAAAAATTACTCTTAAATTGCTCATTCATTAAAAGTTATATGACAGGTAGAGTAAGTCAATTTAAAATATAGTAAAAAAATTATAAGTAAAAATATTCAACATGTTTGAGGCATATTACCTGCATTCAATATCTTCCAGTTACCTCTAAATCTCTGAAAGGACAAAAGTTAAAAGTATGCATAATGGAAAAAATGCTAAAGATATTTATTTCATATAAGTTACTTTTTTCCAGAAGTACAAGACTTCATTCTTTATCCTTTATTCTACCTCTTATCTAACCCTAAGGAAGCTCTTTTCAGGAAAAAATTATCAACCAAAACCCCATATGTTTAAGAACATGACTGAACTCAGATATCTTTGGGTTCAAATTCCTGCCATTTCTCTTGCTAGCTAAGAGAGCTTGGATAAATTACTTAATCTCTCCTAGTCTCAGATTCTCCATTCATAAAAGGAGGATAATAGCACATCTAGTATGTGTTTTCTGTGGGAATTGCATAAATAACCCATGTGAAATGACTAAAAGAGATCTCAACATGTAGGACCTCAGTAAGTGGTCTATTTATTTTTAATTATTATTATTAAGCAACAACATTGTCATGTTTTCTTGAATACTGACTTTATTTGAAATATTTAATTTGTTCATAGAATTTGGCAAAGCTTTAAATAGGCTGATTTCCTACCATGATAAAAAGAAACAACAAAATTCTACTTGAATTTAGGGTTTCTTGTACAGTTATATCTAGGACTCCAAATTTTGTTCTCAAATGCACCAAAGACTAATAGATATATCTTTTGTTAATAGTGGAAAATAAGCGACTTCTTAGGAAGCAAGACCTCATCATGCAAGAGTATAGACTTATGTCCAGTTCTTTGATTAAAATAGATTTATATCCCCTTTTTTATTAAAAAAAAAGAGAGAGAGAGAAAAGGTCTTTCCTGAGTCAGAAGTTTCTCAAACCATTATAGAGTAACAATTATGACTCTCCACTTTTTATTTCTATTGCTAGATTGAAAAAAGATGATTCTCTATAATGCTTACACCAGGAGGATATTATTCTACAAATAAGGGCCCAGCATGACATTTATGAGAAAGCCAGGGTCCTCCCCCACAAAGCTGATTGGTGCTCTACCAATAGACTCAAGAACACTGCCAATAAAGGCACCTATTGCTCTGGGCTGGTCAGACACAGAGCTGAGGGCTGCATTTGCCTGTGGGACTTGGTGAAAGGCTGAACCCTAGTCCTTGCAACACACATCTGTGAACAACAAAAAGAAACCAGACTCTGGAGATGAAACATCTTCCCCAACTCCCTTCCGTCTTGGCCATGTACTGCTTTTGCATGATACAGATTCGCTCCTCAGGTAAGGCGCCAGAGCGAGTGGCTCTGGAAGGGTCGAGCTGTATCCCCTCTACCTACCCCCTTTCTACCCTGTTGCTTTCTGGCCTCATTAGTTTCTAACTAAGGAAGCGTGGACACAGCTCAGTGGGGGGGAAGTGAGACTTTCCCCAGTGGGACTATCTTTAAACACCTCTTGCACCAGAGATGCCTTATGTTTTGCTGAAATGTGAAGGGTGGCCCCTTTGTGAGTCCCAGCCATTTGTGGTTCAGGATTCTCAAGAAAAGAGACCAGAGAGGGTAAAACTGGGCTCCCGGAGGCAGGATGCAGAGCACCTCGTGGTCTAGAGGTCCAATCTTCTGAGTCTGGGTGCTGTCCGCGGTGCTGACTTTGTTACACCATCCCTTTGCCCACTTCGGAGAACCAGCGTGGTTTGAAGAGACCCAAGGTGCTGAAAGGGTCTGTAGTTCAAGTCCATTCTCATTATGTTCAAGTAGTTTGCCATAAGATGCATGGAAGGGTGCCATAGCAGGAAAACCTACGCTTGGAAACACAAAGTATTTCAAAATTTAAATTCGTTTCCATTAGAATTTTGATTTAGAGTAGAAAATTTTGAGAATATTTTCAAAGAGAAAATATATTCCAAACACTATGCATGTTTTGTCACTTCCTAAAGCCCCATTACAAAGCCTGTGGAGATTGTCTGGTCTAACCTCACAGAGTTCAGGGCTCTCTGCTTTCTCACAGATGGCCTTCAAGATTCTGGATACTTTCAGTGACCTCCAACTCACTGCCAGCCCAAGATAGCCAGTGGCTGTCCCTTTTGGGCTACAAGAGAATCTTATTTATATTACACATTTGGAAATTTGTTAATACTTTTTATTTAATTGTGTATATAGTCATATGCAACCCCTCTTTCCCCTGTTTGATTTTATGTTCCCCGAGGATAAGGTCACTATAGTCTTTACCTTTGTATCACACAGGACCTGTCAATGCACCCTGAGGGATTGGCTTGTGTTACTTTGCATTACTGAATGATTACAATCATCAGAGGACACTTCTTTACACTGAGCTGAAATCTGATCACATGTCACTTCTGGCCATAAGCCTTCATTTTATTCTTGGGGATGCATAGAATAAGACCAATATTCCTTACTTATGACCGTTCTTAAAGTTGTTCAAGGCAGTTAACATATACTTCTTAATTTTGCTCTTTTTAGAGAAAACTATGCTCAGTCACTTTAACTCTACCTATCAAGCCAGACTATTAAAGAATGCAGGAAACATAATACTACTCAAGCCTATTTTTAAAAACTGTAACTACTCTTGGAGCTATATATTTCCTGTCCGATATTTTTTAAAAATCCAAATGAAAGGTTTTGTATTTATCCATGCAGTATAAGCTGTTCCTCCAAGTGTTGTGTCACATGTAAACAAGAAGATGGGCTCATTTAAAGCAGAGAAGGGTTGGCAGGGTCCATCTGCATGCTAGTATCACCTTTTCCCAGAACTTCAGCCCTGGAGGGTTTGGAAGGGCAGAGACAGGTGGCTAAATATTTTAAAAGTGCCAAGGGTGATTCTGATGTGCAAACTTTTTTTTGACACCATTATCTGATATTCCATCCTTATATATTCCATCAAAATATAAACTAAGCTGTTACCTAGATAGTATTCTCTTCTTTCCTTATTTGCTAACATCTGTGCTGGAAACTCCTGGTAAATTAAAAACATACTACTGTTTTTGGTGGTTCTGAGAATTGAACCAGGGCCTTTGCCCTGAGCTGCATCCCCAGCTGTTTTTAACATTTTTTTGTTTTCAGATAAGGTCTTGGCACTTTTAATTAATTTTGGTATAAATTTCAGGTTAGGTAGCAGTAGGTAGATGTGTGTTTTCTCTGCAAATTTTCTTAATGGCACTGTATCATATCTTACCTTCTCATTGGCCTCTTTTGTATGGCTCATTCATGGTTTATGGTTCTACTAGAATCTCTTTGTGTTTTTCATGGTAAAGATATGAGGTGTGTGTGATGGCCTCTTTTCTCTAATTGATGCTTTTCTCTTTTCTCTAATTGATGCTTTTCTCTTTTCTCACTGTAGGATTCCCTCAGCCTTTAGCTCACCCTCCAGATGGCTTGGACATTGTGGAGCTTAAGGTAGGTTATTGCTCAGTCCTATGAGATTTTTATTTAACCTAGGCCTTGAAAATATCATGTGGATAATGTTCACTTAAAACTATTTTAAGATAAGATTTTTGGCTGCAACAGAAACTGTTGCCATTTTCACGGCCACACTTAAGGCATCCTCAGCTGTGCTGAGAGCCACTGCTGTTGTGAAAAGATAATTCAAATTCACATATTGAACAATTTTAGAATTTTAAATATGTTGTGATAGAATTCTATTGACTAAGGAATTTATTCTTGTTTTTGAGTTGTTTTGCTCATTCTGTTTTTCAGCAGCTGACATACTGCTTGAATAAGTGGGCAATGCTTTCTAACCAACCTAAGGTAAAAAAAATACAGATGATTGTTAACAGCATAGTTTATGCATTTAATAAATATACTCTTTTGCTACATACAGAAAAATGCTGTATGTGAAAATGTGTATGTTTATGTTTCTGTGTGTGTAGGGGATAGATATTTAGAAAATATCTAGTTTCTGCCTGGGGGATGTAGCTCAGTGGTGCCATGCCTGCCTGGCAAGTGCAAGGTCCTGAGTTCAATCCCTGGTACTGGGAAAGAAAGAAAGAAAGAAAGACAGAGAGAGAGAGAGAGAGAGAGAGAGAGAGAGAGAGAGAGAGAGTGGGAGGGGGAGGGAGGGAGGGAAAGAAAGAAATAAAGAGTGAATGAATGAACAAAAGAAAGAAAATATCTAGTTTCTCTATTAAATATAAATTATCACAAAATTTTAGGGGCTCATGTATGTGCTTACACATATCATTGTCATATAACTATGTCATCATAAAACTAACTACATGTGTCATGATACATCATATTGTACATTATAAATTGATATACTATGATTTGGCAGTTCTCCAAACAATAAATCTCATGTAAAAGACCTAACAGTAACTATAAAAGAAATAATTTCATGGATTTAAAGTGAATGTGGATTTAATTGCAGGAACATAAAGGTGGTCTCTAGATATTACATGATATTGGCAGAGCCTCCTGCTTTCACCTTGAGCTATATCTCCTGCTTGCTCATCTTCCCCACCCAAGGCACACCAGGCTCCAGCCACGCAGAACCTCTCACTGTTCCCCAAATGCACCAGGCCTTTAGTAGCTTTCCATAGTCTTTTCCTCAGCCACAAATGCCTTTGCCTCCTTCTCAGATAGGAGGCAACAGCCCAGACTATGATTAAACTTTGGCAGTGTCTTAATGACCCTCAGTTTTCTCATCTTTACATTGGGGATCATAGCTATACAAGCCCCATAATGAAACCTGCTTGCTTTAATATTTGGGAAATGCTTTCAATGTTGTCTAGAACATGGTAAACAACAGCCATTAAGTGCCAGTTGTTACTATTGCCTCTTTTCTTTTCATTAAGTTTATTGGTATATTTTAGGTATACAATACAGTTACATTCATCATTGGGAACTTGTACCTTTACATGATGTATCTTGGTTCTTATTTTTTCCCCATTCCCCTGGCCTCCCTCCAACCCCTCCATCCCTCCCTATTTACAAAGACTTTGTTTCCATTTTTTCCTTTTCTCATGTTTTATCCTTTCCCTTCTTTTTCTTCCCCTACCCCTCCCACTTCCCCTACCCCTTCAGACCTTTTCTTCCTATTTCACATTATAACTTATACATTTTGATCCTTATTTACACTTTTAGTTACTCATACCCGAGAAACTGTTGGGTATTTACACATGTGTCCTATTTATTTCACTTAAGAATATTGCCTCAATGTGCATCCATTTAGCTATAAATGTCTCTAGTTTCTCATTCTTTATTGCTGAGTAGTACTCCATTTTATGAAAAAAACACATCTTCTTTATCCAGTCTCCAGTTGATGGGGAATTGGGCTGATGCAACTAATTCTCATTCTTGAAGACTCAACTGTAACTTTCTTTCTCAGACTTAAATATATCATGCCTGGTTCTTCTCCTTTTCAGTTTACTATCATGCATGTGTTTTGCCTTAATTGTCATAATAATCTTTCATAGCCTAGGTCCCAAGAGCAAAAAATCGAAGGTAAAAATTCCAAGTTTTCCTTCTCTTCCTACTGTCCCCCAGCCTTGCCCTAGAGGGGCTGTGGGGGTGTCCCCTGCGTAAGCAGAGGCAGAGGAAGTGTGGCTGTTCTGTGTGCTACTTGCAATATTAATTACATTGTGGGGTTCCCAAGTACAAAGCCCCACTTGGGATGAATTTCCTTCCATCCTTTCCATTCCCCCACAGCCAATCTTATTCATTGTTTCTAATTGCAGGAGACTAAGGAGTTGTTCAATCAGCATTAGTATCAATGTTTTCCAAATATGAATAGATAGGATGGTTCTTCCCAGCCTTGTGGCTGCCTCAAAATGTCACCTACATCCTATTACTTCCTCTCCAGGGGCTTCAGTTCTCTCATATTCCCAAAGATCATAGGAGTCCATTGAGCACTAAGTCCCCTCTGTTCTGGTCTCCAGAAGAGGCCAGGTCTGTGATTCCAGGGAACTTTTAGCTTGAGGTCATTAATAAGGCAGTTACTTTCTGCAAATAATGTCATCTGCAGAAACTTCATATTTTGGGTTTCTGCTTACTTCTTGGGATCTGAAGAAGTTTAGATGGAAAAAGGCCAATATGTTTTTGTGAACAGAGCCCTATCATTCATTCATTCATTGACTCAAAAAAAAAAAAAGAGAGAGAGAGATTTATTGAGAGCTTGCCATATGCCAGGTGCTGGGGGTACAGAGGTGACCCAAACAAGGAAAACCATCAGCTCTCATGGAATATATGTTTTAGTAGAGGAAATGTATAAGAAATGAGATAGATGAGTAAAATTGTACAGATTTTTTTTCTTGAAAAGGCAAAAATAAAGCAAGAAAGGTGCATATGAAATATGGAGAGGGCTGATTAGTACCAGGAAAAAAATCTTCCTCTTACATTATTTTTTGACCTGAAAAGTGAAAGTAACATTATAAATCTGTTAAATGTGGTACAAAAAACCCCACATTTGTTTACTTAATAAGTGCTGCTGTGGATGGAGGTTGATAGGAAGACCAGAAAATGTAAAAATAGTAGATACTTCCTGCTGGTTTAGAGATGGTGATTATAAGGAAATGGAGCATTAATTCCCACAGAGCCTCTCCTATTAGTAATGCAGGTTGATTAAGGTGTGTTTCATTTGCCTACACCCACTCGTGCATGGGCACACATATATGCATGACAGGGAGGGAGAGAAAGAATGCATTGGCATCACTTGCTTCTACCCAAGAAACTCTCCCCAGAGTTTGCAGGAGGATATGATTGTATTCACTGCAGTAAATGAGAAATATGATTAGCAACTTGAATTTCTGTTTTGATTGAGGTTTATGCTGATTCAAGAATGTTTGAATGCGATGTGAATGATCAGTACTCTGCTGTATTTAAAAGACAATTCACAGTAATCATTTCTAGAAATTTTATAAATATGGACATGAAAACTTATACTGTTCTGGTTTAGTAAGATGCGCTCTTTCCAGCATCTCCTTGACCAGATGTGCGTTGTGTACAGCTGCCAGCCCTATAGACAAGGGCAGGTTAGAACACTAACAATGGTTCAAAAATAAAAAGCTGCATTTTCTGCAAGAACAGTGAAAATTAATGTAGGAAGTTATTAGAAGGAAAAAAAACCATTTGGTTAATCTGAACCAACCTTTAAAAAATTGCTACTAGGATATATCCAGCAGCAAATGCAATATTGCCATAATTATTTTACTGCATTGCTTAGTCAGATGGATGTCAGGGACTTGGTTATGGTATTGCTTCTGTGCATTAGTGAGGAGTGTTTTCCTTCAAAGATGGAAAAGATGAAAAGAGATCTAATTTTAAAATGATTATGGCAACTTTTAAATTGTAAGATCCTATATCAGCTGTAGTCTTATTAATTTTGTGTAATGGAAGAACTGCTTTTTAGGCTGCCAATTGATTTCATAATAGCTGAATAAATTCAGGAAGGTGTAGAGTATACAGAAACCTCAACTGTTGTCTGCCTCAGTTAAATTCTGCATGACTTACCTTCATTCTTCTCTTTTCAGGATAATCACGACATACACAAAAGGGTGAGTAGCAGCCAGCCCAGGCACAGGGGCACGAGCTTCCACATGAGAGCAAGTGACACTTGGTACTAATACCACTTTTTTTCTTCTTTTTAGTTTTTATTTCACTACTCCAGAACTCAGGAGCCAACATATTCAGTTAAAACCAGGGTCAGTGTTTCTTCATAGTCATCTTTCTATAAAAATGACCTCTGCATGCCTTTATTCCTTCTGAATTGACAGCATATGTACAGAAAATCAGTGAGCCTCTAGACACCCCCTGCCCCAGAAGTAGTTCCCCAGGTCTCTTTCCTCTTGGGATAGAGGTAATGGGTAGTGGGCAGATCTGAAAAGTTAGAGAATAAAACACAAAGGAAAAATAAGTAATGAATAACTTTCTATCATGCACTTAAACAAGAAGAGCCTGGTAAATGCTGTATTCTATTTCCCTTGTTCCTTATGACCTATTATTTAAATTTTGAAATGGTTTTGTGACATGTAAAATACTGTCCCTTCAATAGTGACCCACAGGTGCACATCTCTTCTGTGGCTACCAGGGTGTGTATGTATATTATCTCTAACTTTCTTATTATAAATTTGAGCTCCTTTTGGGAGCAGGCTGAGTAGGTGAATTTCTGTGGCCTGTGATTTGAGGAATAAGGGAAGGTCATAAAATGCAACTCAGTTCAGATGTCCTTGCACTGCCACTGAAATTCTACTATTAGAAACTCACCTACTTACATATTTAACTTTTTCTAAGTCTTCAAGAGTATATTTTAAAGGGACATACTCAGCAAAGTATTATTTTTCCCTTAAAAAGCAAAGACTCAGGCAGGGGATTTAGCTCAGTGGTTTCACCGCCTGCTGTGCAAGCGCAAGGACCCGAGTTCCATCTCCGGTTCCAAAAAAAAGCAAAGACTCACCAGTATTATGGGGCTAGGAAGGAGAATTAGGTAAGGAAGGGGATATTATCAACAAAGGTCACTATACTAGAAAAGAGCAAAAAAAAACAATGGAAGAAAATAAGGTAAGTTCTGTCTGTGGCACAAATTAACTTTTACAGTAAAAGTATCCAGGGAGGATTAATGAGGACTAATCAGGTCAAATGGCTTTGTCTGAGTGTGTGCCAGCAGTCACAGACAGGAAGTGTAGTATAGGTAAGTAGGGGTGCCTATTCCTTGTCCCTGGAATAGGAGATCTCAGGTAGGGACAAAGAAGCTTCCTGGAGCTGCCCCTTTAAGACAACGAACGCTACGAAGCAGAGTGCTTGGGGTTAATGCAGAGTCTGAGTCACCCTAAGGGAATATTTGTGTTGTGTTGAAATTGAAACCTGCTATCAAGGCAAGCAGTCTTTTATTGAAAACATAAAATTTCAGGCGCAGGCTCCAAAATGGATTTCACTCTGGAAATTAAATCCATTTGTAAGGGAAGGGAGTCAAAAGGAAGGTGTATAGCCCTGGGCTCTGCAAAGCCTCCTCTGGCTCAGGGAGGTGCAGCCTCCTATCTGACCCTCCTTGCACCTTTCTTGCAGTTTCCTCCTGTGCACTCCTTAATGCACCTGGCTGCCAAGCTCGCCAGCAGGAAGATGAAGAGGTTTCCGCAGCATCGAGTATGTACTTTCCCTCCCACCCTACTTTCATGCTGCTAAGTTCAGTTAATACTATGATAATGCTGACAGCTGCCTTGTGGCTCATTTGCATTCTCCCTTCCAGTCTGGGCTCCACTTTGGGAGGGAGCAGTGGCCAGGACTGCTGGTCCTTTGGCCTTGACCTCACACTTTGGAACCTCAGCAGGTGGCTGGAGACACCATATCCTCTTCTCTTTTGCTCTTTTCATGCATAAGTTGTGGGTGTGTGTTGTGTATTATTTTGCATTTGTAACATGACATTGCCCTTGGTGACATCCTTTGCTTCCCATAACCTATCTGTTCTTTGTCTGTATCTCAGAGTTTTCCCTGTTTTAAAGCTTTTTATTTTTGGTATCCGAGATCGAACTCGGGATCTTGCATTTGCGAGGTAGACAGCAGAACCACTGAGCTAAATCCCTGGCCTCTTAAAGCTTTTTTTAAAGCTTAGAAATGATCAGTTTCAGCAATCACTGGACCCATTCAAATTATTAATCAAGATTTTGTTGTACAGTTGAAATTCTTGGACCCCCTGGGCCTAGGTAGGGTGGCAAATTCATCCTGGTTTGCTCAGGACTTGCCTGGATTTTAGCTCAGGAAGTCCCGAGATCCTCCTGGAAACTGCTCCTTCCCCAGAAAACTGATTGTTCAGCCTAAGCACAGGCAACAGCTGGTCTTTTCCCCACAGATTTTATACAAATTTCCAGCTCCTCACTGACTCCACTGTTACACCAGGTTTGTGGACAAAAAGCAAGCTGAAAATGCTGAAATGGCTTCTCTTTGGAAGCTGCCTAAACTGGGGGTGCATCTCAAAGATGAGGCCAAGGAGGCACAAGCAAATAAAACATACCTGGACAAACCTGCTGTCTCAAATCAAGCCAAGGAGCTTGGGCAGGAACTTGCCTTTGGCTCCATGGGTAGCCATCCCCTCCCACGGTTTTCTTGCACCTCTCTTCCTACCACTGTAGAACACAGCCAGGAAGAGAAGGACCACACTGACAACTGCAAGGTCTTGAATGTGAACTCACCTGCACCTTGCTTATTCTCTTCCAGGATTCAGGACCTGCTGCCGTGGACTTGAACAAGAAGGTATGTGAGCTCTGGGGAAGTCACAACCCAGAAGTGTAGTCTACAGGGAAGGGTGGGGAAGGATAGGAGCCGACCACCCTGAAGCCCCTCTAGGCCCTCCTGGGAAAGACTGGTCTTATAATATGACTCTGGCCATCTTCACTGAGGCTGATCTCTGAAGCTGGGGGTCTTCCTGGACTTGTCTTGGAACAGAAGGAAACCAAAGGGGATATTGATCAAATCAGTGTTTGCAATCCATGCCTATGGCTGTTAAAATTCATCTCCAGTTTTAAAAATGAGTCCTTTGGAGCTGTCTGCTCCTAAGCATTTGCTATTTCTGGCTTGAGGAGCAAAGTAATATTGTACAAAGTTGTGGGGGGTACATATTGGTACCAATGCCATATACCAGAGAATCCCAAACTTGGCCATGCATCAGACTCACCTGCTAAAGATTCAGATGCCCAGGCCCCACCCTGAGATACACTCAGTCCAAACTGGGCATGAGAGTTTGCATTTCTAGCAAATTCCCATTTGTTGCTGAGGCTGCTGATCTGGAACACCTTTTCTGAAATCTGGCCCCATAGACATTTTTGAAGGACATTTGATGCAATGTGGCTGCATGAAAGTTTATATTTTTGTGTTGCAGGATCCCACTGCCACCTTGGGACAGCCATTCTTCCTTTTCAGGGTAAACCAGGTTTTGTTATTTCTGATTTTGAGCCCAATTGGCAGCAGTCATCCCAATTATGGAGTTTTTGCAGGACTCCATGTTGAACTAGAGCTCTCACTGCCTGCATTTAGGGCATGACTTAGTCAAGCTGCAAATGGCAAGGGAAGCTGGACAGAGGCCAAGAGGGTCTGAGTTCTGGAAGCATGGGAAGCAGAGGGAGGTTCTGTTGAGAGACAGACACTGGACAAACCAGAACCCATGTTCCTGAACACTAGGGTCCAGGACACACAGGTTGGGAGAGTCCAGGCACCATCCTTTCCTCTTTTTCAGGTGACACAGAATTCCTTGCAAAATTCATAGACTCTTTTAGGTTTGATCCATTACTTACTAGCTTCATATCGCCCTTAGACCCTCAGGGTTTCCATCAGAAAAATAAGTAAATCAGGCTGGATCCATCCAAGACTCCCCAAACTACATGCTGGGGATCACTGATGCAAAGATTGGAAGATGACACATTCAACACTCATTAAGATTCAGAACGCATCCCCAAGGCCATTGAGGGTTTTGAGCAGTCCCACAGGAAACCCCCTGCTTCCCTAGGCTTAATCTTTGGATTCTCTAATTTCTTTGACCATAGGAACAGTTTCCACCCTCCGCACTCCCACCCTGTGCACACTTCTTTTGGTTTGCATGACCTCCTAATCCACTGTTCCCTAGAAGGTAGTTTGAGAGCAGTAGGTCTCTGTGATGACTCAAGTCTGAGAAGTTCCATGATGAATTTTTTTTTGTATGGGGGATCGAACTCGGGACCTTGCACTTGCAAGGCAGGTGGTGGTACCACTAAGTTAAATCCTTGGCCCCATGGCAAATGTTTGTGAGTGCTGCCCCAGGCAGCTTTGTCTCAGCGTGTGAAAGTCACCCCATTTTTTTCAGCCAAGAAATGGAAGAAACACTGAAGTCCAGGACCAGCAGAGTGTCCAAGGTCAGCTCCATTGCAGTGTTGCTTTTTTGAGTAAGCTTTATGTGCCTGACATGGGGGAATGGGAGGCAGCCAGGGATGATTGTTCACAGAAGGGTCCTTCCCCTTGCTGCTTACAGAAGAGACCCCAAGCCCAGCCTGGCAGCAGCAGGCTGATCCAGCCAGCAGTACAGCCCTTGGTCCCATGCCTGGCTCTGGAAGATGGAGTTGAGATGAGGGTGAAAGTCACATGCAGCCCCACTGGGCCCCTGTGATTCCTCACCTGGCCCTCTGATGAGGAAACCACCACCTTGGTGTGTTGGGGTGGTGCTTTATGTAGCCCCTGTAGGCTACCAGGCTCCCTGTTCTGCAGGCTATTCCCTCTCTTCAGTGGTGCTGTGAGACCCTGAATTCCTTGGCCTTTGGGGCTGTGGGAGGAAGTCCACTCACCAGGCAGCTCTGGTCTCCTGTATCTTGGAGCAGGATGTAGGCCCAAGAACATGTAGTCATCTTCCTGAGGATTGGTTGCAGCATCTCTGACCCACAGCTAGCATCGGGCCCCCAGCTTCCCAGGCAAGCTGTCCTCATGTTGGGGGACAGAAGTCCCTGGCAAAGGGAGAGGGAGGGCATTTCCCAGGGCCACAGTGCTTTCACAAACTTAATGGCCTAGTTAGACACAGCAAAACCAAATCTTATGAGTACTGATGATGGGGAAGACAGACCAGGCATTTAGAACATGTCATTTAATTATAGAATTATAGAATACATTTAATATCTCATCTTGATTCCAGGAATGATTTGGCTTTAGCTGTACATCTTTTCTTTTTCAGGATCCAATGGCAAAGGAAAGCTGGATCCAAGGAGGCTATGCAGTGATTATTTTGAGCAAATGTCAAGTTTCTTCCTGTGAAAAATATTGAAAGAAAAAAAAAAGAAAAATATTGAAAGATATTTCTCTTGCTCTATATCCAGTAGAATATCTAGTTGCATGAAAATAAAGTAGCACTGACACAACAGTTTCATTTCTTATTAGAAAGTCTTGGGAAATTGGTTATAAATTTTTTAAATAATAGGAATTCTAAAAAGTTTACCATTTAGGAGTCCAGAGTAGCATGCTCTGACTATCATGTTATTATTGAGAATGAAAGGGTGGGTTCAGCAGATCATGCTGGCTGCTTTAGATCCTGACTCCTCCACTTTTTAGCTGGATGACCTTGCTGTGTTAGTCAAATTTCCACTGCTGTGACAAAAACTTGATATAAACAACTTAAAAGAAGGAAAAGGAAAATTGGCTTTGATTCATGATCTCAGAGATTTCAGTCCATGTCCCTTAGCCCTGAGCCATTAGGCCTGTGGCAGCACAGGACATCATGGCAGGAGCATATGATGACTGAGAAACAAAGAAAGGAGGGGAGGGGACCCAATATCCTTCTGAAGGCCACACCACCAATAACCTCACTTCCTCCCTCTAGCTCTGCCTCTGGTAGCCTCACTTCCTCCCATGAAGCCCCACCTCCTAAAGGCCTATCACCTCCTAATAGCACCATAGGCTGGGCCCAAGCCTTCAACACCTGGCCTTTGGGGAACATTCCATATTCAAACTGGAGCACCTGAGTAGGTCAACTTCCATTTCCTCAGTTTCCTAACCATTAATGTGGGTGCAATAACAGAAACTACCTTGTTAAGCTATTTTGAGTATTAAGTGGGTTAATTCTTGTAAGGAGTTTAGACAGTGGCTACTGAGTTGTCAGTGCTTGTTAGTTATCTTCATTATCATATGACAGCACAAGCAGAGGAGGCCATGCTGGGGAGGACACTGTGACTGGGCTCTGAAATATCTCCCTTGCTGGTATCAAATTAGTGATTAGATTTGGGGAACACTATAGATTTCTTCCTTCTGATTATTTTTTTAATATAGTGGAATGGCACATGCCTGCAATCCCAGCACCTGGCAACACTAAGGAAAGGGAATTACAAGTTTGAGCACAGTCTGGGCGACTTTGCAACTTAATGAGACCCTGTCTCAAAATAAACGATTTTCTAAAAAAGCATTGTGGTTGTAGCTCAGTGAGAAGGCCCTGGGTTTGATCCCCAGTAAAGAGAACAAAAACAAAATCTGAAAACCCAGTGGCCAAGAGAGCTGGCTGAGGGGCTCAGCTCTACCATCAACTATTACCTGTGTGATTTGGACAATTCATGTAACTTCCCTGATTCTCAGTGTATACATCTAAAAAATGGGGCAAATGATAACTCTTTCACAAGAGTGCTACTATGATTAAACAAGCAATGAAAGTAAACTCTCAGGAAGTGTGCTGTACACACAATTACCACACACACCAACATCACATCATACATACCTTGCTGTGAATTTCCACTTCTGGAGACTGAGGAAGTTCTATTTCCTAAGTACAGACTCTTCCAGGCACTATCAAGTTTGTTTTATATCAAACATCACAGTCCTACAAAGTAGTGCATGGACTAATAGTAGCAGATAAATCCCAGTATCTCAGGAACTGAACCTTGTAGGATTTTATTTACAGCTTGCACAGAGTCCTCTGCAAGTTTCTGGCTATACAGAGTTCAGGCTCCTTCTGCCTTTAGGTACTGCCCAGGCTCAAGGGCCTCGGAGCTGTTTCTGTTCAGTGAATGGATGGGGAAAGATGAGAGGAAGCTAGGAGTGAAAATAACCATGGGCCTGGTCATTTTACAGGACTAGAACTAGTCACATGACCATACCCAACTGCAGAGGATTCTGGGAACATAGAGGATACTGAGACTGTAAACTGCTGTGTGGCCTGGAAGAAGACAGGTAGACATGGTGAGTTACTAGTCACTCTCTACTACAGACAGATTATCCCCATGGGAGGAGAACAGAGACAGAAATCAAACACTGGCCCAAAGGTCTTCCACTACATGGTAGAGGCAGATCTCAAACCCAGATCCAGCTGACTCCAAAGTCTTTAGCTCTCATGATCCACATTAGCTTCCAGGGGCACGGGATTGTCCTTGGGTTGTGTGCAGCGGTGAAGTGAGAGGAAATTACAGAGTTGATTTGGACACAGAGTCACAGAGCCATAGTCCCTGTCACCCAGCTCTGAGCTCACCAGATAGATGGGATACATTTTGTGACAATGAGGCAAGTAATGCCCAGGCCATGTCTGACGTGACAGAGAAGAGATCTGAATGTAACAGAATCAGGGGGTAGCTAAGTTGGCATTTCACATTCTCTTCCCACCCAACATTTTACACAACTCCCTAGGCTTTATAAAGGTATTTATCTGTGCACAGTAAGAAAGAAAACAAATGCACATGGCTAGAATCAACCCTGTTGGAGAGTTGGAAAAATTCCACTTCTGGACCATTTTATTGTTTTGCTCAGTTCTCTGATCTCATTGCTAACTCTTGGTATTTCCATTTAATATTAAGCCCATCAATTTGCCTCAAGAGATTAAGTCACAATCAATAGAAACCCTGAAGGAGAACACAGCAGGACTTATTTTATTTATGCTATTAGTCTTCATCCTCTGGATGGCGATGCCTTGGCAAGTAGGGAATTGCTTTAATAAAGCAAAGCCAAGGAGAAGAAACTTTCTGCAGCTATTAGGATGCTGGGGTCCTGGGAAGACTTGGGACAGATGAACCTCGTGGCTGCAGATCTGGAACTGGAGGTGGCCAAGGCAAGATCTACCATTTGTACCCTTGACCTCAAGCCGGTGAGGAAGAGCAAGGAGTGTTTGAGGGAGGGAAAGTCACAGGAGAGTAACTTTATCCTTGACTGACATTTAGGTGATGGACAGAAATGCAAAATGTACCTTTTATCAGAGTGTATGGTGCCTTTTCATCAGGTACAAAATAGGGACATTTTGGTAATGAGATTTGTGTTAATTAAGGTAAAAGATCCAACGCTATTGTGGTTTAAAGAACAAGTAAGTTTTTCCCTCTACCTTGTCTGGATGTAGATGACCCATTCTAGTGGAACACCTCTATTCTTTGCACTGTTCAGAAGTGTAGGACCCTGTGTTGTCAAAGCTGCGTGGCCACCAGCCTTGCTGTAGCTTATGACACACAGGCACAGTATTTTACAGGCTGGAGATGGCAAACATCACCTCCCTCCTGTGAAGAGAAGTCAGCAATAGGACTACACTCAGGAAATCTAGTTTTCACCTGGTGCCATGACCAACTAGAGCCCTGTTGTCTTACATTTAGAATAAGAGGAAGGGTCTTGGTGGGCAGCCAGATGATGCACACAGGTCTCATCACTGGGGAGGGGAAAGGAATCCTTTAGCAGAGTAATGATGCTGTGATATTCAAGGGGGAGGAGGAGGATGTGGATAATGCAGAAGCCTGCCAAAGGCCTGGTAGGTGTGCTACCCTCAAGTCCAGAGTGTCAACTCCCACTATATCTGGGTGGAATGTGACAAATGTCTGGTGTCACAGGGAGCCAATGAGAACAGATGAGATCTTGTGGATCAGACCACTCAGAGAGAAGGTGAGAGTGGAAGCAGAGGGTTTGCAAGAATGGTTGGAGATGTGGAGCTGCCCAGGAAGCCAGAATGAGAATCTATGTCTTCAGAAGAGGTCCTGAGTGAGGGAAGACAGGTTGAGCAGGAAAGAGATTCCATTTCTGAGCATTCCTATGACTTCTTTGGAAGGCTAAAAAGTGGTGACTGGAGCCGGGAGTAAAGAACTGTCATGAGATTCTTTGGGATCCTTAGCATGTGAGTGACTTGTTTGAGAATGAACTGCTCTGTCCTCTCCCATCATGGTGAGAGGATGGGGTTGAGGGGCTGGAGTTACTCTTTTCAACCCCAGCCTAGTGAAAAGCAGATTCTCAACAGGACTCTGTTACCTGCATGAGTAGATTTCCCTCGACATTCCCCTCTGGCATCCTGTACACTCATGACCCCTCATTACTCCTCTAGTTCCCACACATTAGGACACCAAGAGAACAGGGTGCCTTCTGTCAGTGCTATGGATTGAGTTCTTAGCCCCTGGTTAGCTAGTTTAAATCAGTGCATTAAATTCCTATGAGCCCTTTTGATATTGCTGCCAAACAGAATGGCTGGAGGTAGCACTCTGATGCAGGGCAGCCAGAGCACTCTAGGGAGTTGGAGCCACCTCTGCTACAGATGCTCCCCAACACCCAGGCCAACCACAACTGGGTGTCCAGGCTGACAGCCCAGCCTAGTTCCCTAGTCTGTAAGATTCCTCCAAACAGAACAACCCTATGGACTTGAGAGTTCTCCATGTACAGAGGCACAACACACAGTGCCAGTTGCTACAGCTTCTACTGAAAGGGGTGAGTGCCATGCTGCTCTAGAATCTTCTCCTTCTACCTTTTCTTTTGTTGCCTCCCTCTGCTCCAACACCTCCTTTTCCTGCAGCCTTTATGGATGTTTAGACCAGGATAAAATCCCTCTTTGCTCTGGTTTATATCTACATATATGTTTCTCCAAAACTTCATGTGGTCATAGGTGGGACTTTTGGAAGATAATTGCATTATGAGGGCTTACAGCTGACTTCCTGTTAGGAGGCAGGATCTTGTCAGAAGAGATGGTCACTGTAGGCATGGCTGTAAGGATTTAGCTCCCTTCCCAGTTCCTCCCTCAACTCTCTGCTTCCTGTCAGCCACGCCCCTCTGTCCTTCCTTGGAGACAGCCAAGTGTGGACTGAAACCTCTACAAACGGTAAGCCAAAGTAAACCTCTCCTTCTTTTAGTTGTGGCTGTGGGTTATCTTGTCCCAGACATGAGGAAAGTGACTAAGACACTCTTCACCCACAATCTTGTCTCCAAATGTATATCTCATTCTCTTCCCTGAGAAGGAAGGAGGAGTGGGAGCAGCTTCACAGTTGCCAGCATCCCAAGCCTTCCTGGATGCCTTGAAGAGAGATCCTTTTCACTACCTTATGTGTATCCAGACCAGCTGTCCTTCCTCCTCCCTGAAATCACTGGACTGCTTGGGTGCAGAGGACCATAATATTGATTATGCCCAAAGCAGACTGCAAAGAGTTAA